TCTGTCTCTGTATTGTACATGTATATATGTACAGGTGCAGTGTTTGTATGTACATATGTACCTGGACGCCGTGTAGCTGGCAGACGATGGTCTTGTTCTTGGCGTTGTTGCACGTGAGGTTGCAGAGGACACCGGCCGTGCAAGTAACAGTAGTGACGTCGTTAGAGGCAAGGAGGACTATCAACTGCCGCAGGAGGTCGTCCAGATGGTCCTGCAGTACACACCAGAGAGATATGTACAGACCACACTATATCTCAGTGACTTCAACCATATTTTTAGTGTGCCATGCGAACCGCAGACCACAGTAATTGTGCAGAACTGTATTTTGTAAGTGGTTCATTTCAGTTCGTGTTTCATGGCTCACGGACCGTGGAACCATGTACGTACAAAAACAGTCATGAATGCTAAAATAAAAGCTACCGACAGACTCATAGAAAGATTTAAACACCGTCTACTGTTGTATGTTGCCCATAATGCAGTACATGTATAAAGTACAGTTGTACATGTAAAGGTGTTAGAAGTGTACATGTATACAGTGATTATAAAACACACCTGTTTAGTGGCCATGTCAGAGAGATTGCGGAGTGTGTGGAGAATGTTGTGGACTAGTCGAGTTGAGCGGTGACCAAGATGACGAGATAGCGCCTGCATCCCTCCAGCCTGACAGAGGAGAGGGGGAGAAGTGAGAGAGGGAGGAAGGAGTGACAGAAGGGGGGAGGTAGGGAAGAGAGAGGAAGGGTGCCAGAGAGAGAGAGGGGGGAGAAGAGAGAGAGGGAGGAAGGAGTGACAGAATGCGAAGGGGGGAGGTAGGGAAGAGAGAGGAAGGTTGCACGAGAGAGATAGAGAGAGGGAGAAGAGAGGGAGAGAGAGAGGGAGAGAGAGAGAGAGAGAGAGAGGGAGGGAGAGAGGGAGAGAGAGAGAAGAGAGGGAGGAAGCAGTGCAAAGAAGGAGTGAAGGAAAGATGGAGGAAGGAGAGAGAGGGAGTGAAAAGTTTGGTCAAAAAGTAGGGTCGATCCACACATACACACTCTTAATATGACGTAATGTTCTGGAGAATTTGCCAGTCACAGTGGTGGTAACCAGTGGCCAAATCATGTGTGCATGCAGTGCCACACAACTATATATGCTACAGTGTGCATCATGTGATGCAGACCTGAACAATCTCTGGCTTGTTGCTGGGGCAGACGGAGAGGACCTTGAGGAGTCGACTGCAGGTCCACAGCAGTTTCTCGTAGGAATAGAGTCTCATGATCCTCACCAGGTTCACTGGACCTCCACTGGCCAGGATTATCAGCTGCAGGAACACACACACAGTCACAAATTGCTTACAACCGTGCTAGGAACGGCCCAGATGGCTAGGAAACGATGAGGAAAACCTCCATGGATTAGTAGGGAAATAACCTTTTGCACGGTGCTACACCACAATGAACATAATGTGTGATTCCTGATTTGTCTTATTATGGCTATCGCACAGGCTGTTGAAAACCCAGGTCATATGGATGGAAAGGTTAGGTTCACATGACTTATCATGCAGAGCCTCTAGTTTACAGATAGACTTTACACGTGCTAGTCTTTGCCATTTACACATGTACAGTACAATACACTTCGCATGTGTCTATACACAGAAACACAGTAGAAGGCCTAAATCATTACATGTGCCTGTAGTTGCCGTTCTTTTGTACATAATCTCTATCTATTTATTCTCTAACTATGTGTAAGGGAGGTTGGGACACTGGGTGTGTAGGGAGAGTTGGGCCCATAAAAGAATCTTTAACCCACCGCCCCGGTTCTCAAGGCTGGGCACCCAGGGTCCTGCCTCTACTCTTTCTGTTTATATGTTGTTGTCTGACATTTATATTTTTCTATTTTTTCTTACACGTGTATATGTTGTGCGTTATTTAGAGTAATCGCATGTTTTTTCTACCTACAAGTTGCATCGTGGTACTGCGTAAGTTTCAGAGTTTTTATAAGTCTATTAATTTGGGGGGGGTGGTTTAAGGGTTCTTTCTTATTCTTTTAGCTAGTATGCTATAAACATGTTTTTTCATGTACACAATTGTACTGTAACAGCAGGAAGCCGCTGTAAAAAAGGTCTTCCTTTTAACACCTGTGTGTATTATGTACATACAGTAGAAGTCAAAAAAACGTTTCCAAAATCGTTCACCGTTCAACCGTTGAACGGCGTTCGAACGGAGAAACGGAAAACGGAAACGGAGAAACACCGTTCACCGTTCAGCCGTTCACCGTTCAGACCGTTCGACAATTATCCGCATGTGTGCCACTCCCACTTTTTCGAGTTACGGCCGTACGCTATCCTGAAGTAGCGAGGCGCGCTTTTACCACAGCCTAAGCCTTGGCAAAGGTCACGGCATCAAAAGTTGCCAAAAATAACCGTCGATTTCGGTGCTAGACTTCCGCCGTGGTGAATTCGTTGATAGCTTTTAGCGCGTATCGCGGGTTGCGTAGCCGCGAACACGAACGGTCAACGGATGAACGGTCAACGGATGAACGGTGAAACGTTGTTCCGTCGGAAACGGATGAACGGTGAACGATTTTGGAAACGTTTTTTTGACTTCTACTGTACCTGACGTAAATAATGATACATATGTACAACATAATACACAAGGAATACAGGGGTGTGAATGTACATATACAAGCCCTGGATAAAAAGAAATGTAAGGTGAACCTCAGTTATCTGGGTAGCTTTGAACAAAGAGATGCCATGAAGGAATGGCTTGAGCATACACACCCAGTTACACAGAAACACTTTTTAGCTAGTCTCATGCCCAGGCCCCGCCCTCTAGCGAGGAAAAGGGTCTGGTGACAATTGAGCGATTTCTTGGTTGTGCTGATTGAAATCACTGAACATCACGTACAGCATGTGACCACGTATTCCAAACTTACTTGCATGGGGTTGTGTAATGATCACAAGGCTGCTGATTTACCACAACCAAATGGCTCAAATGTCACCAGACCCCTTTCCTCTCTTTAGAGGGCGGGGTCTGGGTATGAGACTAGCTAGGTACTACCTTGCTGTCCTGGTGGCCATAGGCAAGGATGTGGAGGCAGTCAGCAGTGATGGCCAGGAACTTGGGATTGTCCTTCACCAGTAGAGCCACCATTTTCTCCAGCCCTCCTGCAGGGAACAATCAATTACAGCTACCAGGGTTCGTGCAGTACGCAGAAAGTGTTTGTTTGGCTACAAAATGTTGTGTTGGAAGATTCTTTCAGCATCTGCAATTTACTCTGTAATAAACCCCTATGTGTACGTAATTTGCCTGTGTTGCTATAATAGCAGAGAGTGAATCTAGCTGCGAAAGCCAGTGGACAGAATTTCTTGCAGAAACACCCTGGCCAAACAGTGCCATTACGTAAAGCACATAGATATATGTACAATTGGTCTGTACAGAAACCAGTTCACTAGATTGTATTTCGTACATGTGTCGACGACTACAAATGTAGGTAGCAAGGTACTAGAAGGCAAAGCAAACAAGTCAACTAATACACCCAGGAGAGCACTTTGTTTTCAAAAGAAGAAGAGCTGCCCTATGTAGGTGGGATTCGAACCCACGACACTCTGCAGTCTAGACGAGCGCTCTACCAACTGAGCTACCAGGGCAACTCAGCTGGTAGGGGTTCGAATCTACAACACAACACAACACAAAGGCAAACCTCAAACCACTGTGCATATGGCACAATAATTATACTCTCAAGTAATGTTGTACTGTGTATGTACCGGCCAGTCTGACGTCCATCTTGGCTGGTTCATAGTGTAGCAGCATGTTGTGGAGGGAGGTGACGGCATAGAACAGTATAGCATCCACCTGCACACATACACACACAGATTGTATATGTATATACTTTGGATATGCTGTGTAGTACCGTGAAGGTTTGAGCTTGTATGGGACACATCCTGGCATCGTTCCCAGGTCTACCTCACTACACGTTGTATGTGTAAGTTAAGGCAGCATGACAGTTGCACATGCACACGCTCCATCTCAGCAGTACTGGTTGAAGAACCACAGAAAGAAGGACAACCCAAAGCATCTTGCCACATGCACACACACGCACGCACGCACGCACACACACACACACACACACACAAGCTGAATTCATGTGTATAACAAATTTGACCAATTTCACACCCAGTTATTCACCCACAAATTTTAACACTAAGCCCGTTGCCCACTACAAAATGAAGATTGTACAGTATGTAATAGTTAATGTACGGAAGTCAGTGCTGTGCGCGTAATAATGGTACGAGGGGCGTGGTCGAGATAGTCATACAGCACGAGGCGCAGCCGAGTTGTTGTATGATATTGATCTATCGAGACCACGTTCCGAGTACCATTATCACGCGCACAGCACGTGCTTCCGTACACTAAGTAATTTATTGTATGCGTGGGTGATTCAAAAGGCGGCGACCAGCAAAACCGGCGTTCAGAACGGAAGAGAGGACGAGAAGCTCGCGGAGCGCCCTTCCAGCAGCGGTTTGTGTCACCGTCTGAGTCGACCTCCGTCTACGAAAGGCCGCCGAGGCGTCATTCCCGCAAAGCGTACGCTAGTCCGCGGATAGTGCACAGTTCGTGTGATATAGTACAGTTCCGCGCGATATAGTACAGTTCATTCAAAAACCGTTCTGTATGATGAATATAGTACTGGCGGCGCCTTTGATTCGCCCACGCAAAATACAATAAGTATACATTGTACAGTACCTGTGAGATGAGTAGCTGGACAAGACATGGTATTCCTCCACTGTTGTAGATCATCTGGAGCCCACGTCTAAAGCAGTAAACGTTGTATTACATCACACTGTCACGCTTCATTTCATGATAATGGCAATAATTCAGTAATAGTAGTACTACTATACATGTGCCTTGTGCAATATTGTGTTAGAACCCCTACCAGCTGAGTTGCCCTGGAAGCTCAGCGATGTGTAGAGCACTCGCCTAGACTGCAGAGTGTCGTGGGTTCGAATCCCACCTACAGTAGGGCTGCTCATCTTGGAAAAAAAGGTCTGTCATGCATGGGTGTAGTTAATTCGTTTGTTGTGCCTTTGCCTTTCTACCTCGTAGTTTTCACATATGTACAACACAATGAAAACTCTGAATAAGGGGCACATTAGAGACATTGAAAGTGTTGTGTCCTCCTTTAGAAAATGATTTAGAGTGGGGCAGAACCGAGTGTCCATTATAGATCGAGGTGCCCTATATTTAGTGGTTGTTTATCACGTTTCATCATCTTCCGACTATAGAGCTGTGATGAGCTGACCTGTCTCCAGACATGTTGTGGATGCACCCAGCCAGTGATTTCTGGACATCCAGACTCCGCGTGGAGACCATGCCCTGGACCATGGTCCGCACCACGTGGGCATTGCTGAGGACCGCCTTGTAGCTGGTCTCCTTCTTGGTGAGGTCGTGCAAGAGCTTGGCTGCTTCGGATACGGCGCTAGTGTCCCCTCCGTTCTGGGGCTGGAGGAGTTTCGCAATCTCTGGAAGCGCTCTGGCCGTCAGCTCCGTTGATCCCTGGAAAAAATGGCAGGGAGGAGGAGGAGGGGAGGGGGGAGGAGGGGAGGAGGGGAGGAGGAGGAGGAGGAGGTGGAGGAGAGGAGGAGCAGGGGGAGGGAGGAGGAGGAGGAGGAGGAAGGGAGGAGGAGGAAGAGGGGGAGGAGGAGGAGGAGGGGAGGAAGGAGGAAGAGGAGGAGGAGGAGGAGGAGGGGAGGGAGGAGGAGAAGGAGAGGAGGAGGAGGGGGAAGAAGGGAGGAGGAGGAGGAGGAGGAAGGGAGGAGGAGGAGGAGGAGGAGATGATTGGAGGAATAAGAGGAAGGAGAAAGAAGGAAGGAGGGAGGGAGAGACATAAACAGCAAAGGAAGTGTGAGGGAAACCATGAGGAATGATGAAGGAAAGTACACGTAGAAGATGATGGTTTAAGCTTGAAATGAAATTCTGAGTGAACTTTCCAGTTCTATGCATACATTATCATGCGCATTACGAATCTCCTTCCCTGCTATGTGATTTTCTGGTCTGACAGTCTGTTTTGCTTGAATTGAAGCAAACTTTTGGATATTTCGTGGGTATTGAAGGAAAACTGTATAGCTGTAGTGTTTAAAAGCCTGTATTTTGTTTTGCCATCCCTACTCCTTCTCCATCCCTCCTTCATTCTATGACTACTGTACCTACATGGTATGATCACTGTACCTGGTACTGAGTGAGAGATGCAACTGCAGTCTTGAGGACCTGAGTGGACTGAGCCAGTCTATGGAGGTTACTCTGCTGCTGTCCCGTGGCTCCTCCTGCCTGCATGGAGATACTAGCACATGATTATCACATGTCTACACAGACACACACACACACAGAGAGAGAGAGAGAGAGAGAGAGAGAGAAGAGAAGACAGACAGACAGACAGACAGACAGACAGACAGACAGACAGACAGAGACAGACAGACAGACAGACAGACAGTCAGTCAGTCAGATACATACACAATGTGCGTAGACATACAAACAGACAGACTGTACATACATACATGCACACACACACAGAGTGACACGCACATTAGGACACACGAAAGTGTACCTGAGTGATAGGGGCCTCCTCTCCCTCCTCTATGGTGTCGGGGAACATTGTCATCCTAATACGTTCAGCACTGGCTTGCTGCATCCGACTACTGACTGCATGTGTCCCTGTGGGCCAGAGGACATGTATACAGTCAGACAGAATGGCAATACACTCAATGGGGCACAATAATGCACAATAGTACTGTGCATAATGGTGTTTATACACATCATACATTGCTACGTGCTGAGACCACTGCGACTAGGTTTTTTACATTGCATACTTGCTGTGTATTAGTGAAGTGTACATGTATTGTACACGTATGGACGATTATCTGTGTCCAAACCAAAGAGATAATGGTGAAGCAAATGTTTGGCGCCAAAAGTGTACCACATGATAAAGTGGGGACGAGCAGCAATACACACTATGTATGTACTTCGTACAGCTCCGAAATTGCTAACGAAAACACATCAAAGGCTGTGAATAATGACAGTCAAGGGTATTCATGATCTGTGTTCCCAGTGCAGCAGACGGACAGACTGGATGTTGTACATACATCTCCTGCATACACCCCCACTAGCAGCAGGAAACAACTTTAGGTGAATGAAGGTGAAAAATAAGTCAACACCATTTGTTGTTTTCGTTTATTTGGTGAAGAAAATGCTTTCCATGAGAGGCATGAAAAACAAGGATATGTATATAAATAAGTGAGGATATTAACTCGTCGTCAACTGTAATGTAAACTGACATACATGTAAGGCACTCCCTATTTCACACCCCGACTACACCACTACATATAAATGAATCTTACCAAATGATTGTTGCTGTTGTGGTTGTTGTTGGGGCGGAATTTCATCGCTGTCCAGTTGCTCCAGATCACCAGGGGCCACATCGGAGTGTGCCTTGGTCTGTACCCCGCTCTGTACTCCGCTGACCAAACCAGACGATACCCCAGACCCAATGGCAGAGTCACCAGGTGACATGTACGGACCACCACCTTTTGGTCCATAGCCTGTTGTGGTACAATGACACGTCACGCAATTATATCCCGGTTCACAATAAGATGCTACACTTTCATTTCGTCTCTGTCTTCCGTCATATTATCGTTTTGTTGTGCTGTTAACAGAATGACAATACGACGGTAGCTGATGAATCGAAAACGAAACGAAAGTCTGTTATTGTACTGTGAACCAGGCTTTATGCACAATACATACATATACGCGCACACTGTGCAAGAACAGTTAAACTTAACAAGTTATAACATTTAACGTAGCCGGTATCACAAAGTTTCGTAATGCAGGGGTGTGATGTTTGCATCTTGTTTCTATATAACTAACACCGTTTGAGGTGTTACACATCCCCTTGCCGGCTTTGGAAAAAAACAAGTGGAACACAGAGTGAGCATAGGAAATTCATATCCTGGACACAGCAGTTGCCATAAATCGTCCAAGACAAAACACACAGCGTGTAATCTAGTGTGTACGGAATCTCTTGTACACAAAAGAAATATCAAGAAAATAATTACTATGTGTATAGATGTGAGAGTTGAAGAAAAAGTGTTTTTCAGGACAGACTTTCACCCACATATATACATGTACTGTTACGCAGTAAACTCTCTCACCACTGATTTCATGCAGCTTATTGCAAGCACATGCTAATGAAATGGACTGTACACTACATACAGTTATGTATGCATGGTGTACTAGCTCTTGCTGATGCGTGCTGAGAGTTAACAAGTCACAAAGGAAGTGGAGGGTGCAAACACAACATGTGGACACAGGGGTCATGAGATGGACACCAGGTGGGAATTTGATTGGACTCTCTATAGTCGGCACATTCCTCATCCATATAGTCACTTCCACCCACCCACCTACATGTGTACCTGCTTATGTATGTGTACACTTACAACTCCAATATGGAGCCTGCCTGAATGTCTTGTCCTTATATATAGAACCTCACTCGTGCAGACTTCAAAGCTATAAGCACTTTGGTTAACCGGGCAGCTCTCTCTCACATGCAAACAGCACAGTCAACACTGTGCATGTGCAAAGGTGTGCGAATTGGTGGAACCTGATTACACACATGTACACATGTACATATGATTACACATTTTGTGTGGAATGCTAGTGGAAAGCTAACGGTGGGTTAGCCATAATAATAGCTCTAAAGCAAAAGCTATATGTGTAGAACCACGAGGCACAGATATTGTTAAAAAATTTGTGGAAAATTTCTGAATCTTGAGCACCCAATGGTTCCATAATTGACGAGGGAAGCGAGGCTACCAAATCGTTTCAAAGAGGAAATTTTAAATAGTATATGTGACGGGTTGGGCACTGCACATGCTGTAATGTTCAATGTGATGCACAAAACACGCATGCTCACGCAACAATGCGTTGCATTCCTCTAGTAATTAAATGCTGCCTGGACTTTGTATCACTAAGTACGGTAGTACTTAGTACATACAATAGGGATGGGCATGGTATATATTGTAGCACCATGGATGTATGGGGCCATGGTAGGGAGTTTTGTTCATCATCTTCTTCTTCAGATTAGACACGCATATGTATATACCTCAAAAACGGACACGGGAGGGATGGGATACATTAATGAACAGATTTGAGCACGCTGACACCCCCAACCCCATCACACAATTTTGTTGCCTAGGTGAAGTATTAAACATTCAACATTACAATAGTCAAGGCTTACAGCTGGAAATCAAAAGTCATGCTACTGAGTAACCAAGAGTCCAAATGGAGCTTACGAGTGGCACACCAGGCGACAATATAGAGGGATTGTGTGATGGGGGTCGGGGGTTTCAGAGTGCTCAAATCTGTTCATTAACCATGCTTCATGCAGGCTGTCTTCAGGGTTGTGCCTGTCTTCAGGGTACTGTATACATAGAAAGGTTTACCAAGTGCTGGGCACTAGTAAATTAGCAGTTTCCGGCTAGTACGTGGAAAAACATTTGTTGAACACGTAGATCATGTGTGGTGGAATATATCATCGCACGCGTCATTGCACGTGATCTGGATGTACAGTTCACTGAAATCCCCCTCACCATAGTTAATACCCTGACCCTGCTGTGATTGCATCCAAGTCACAAGCTACAAGGTTCATTGCATGAGGCATAATTACGGTAGAGGTGTACAGTTATCAGTTGTGTTTCTCACCATGGTAGTGATGTTGTTGTTGATGATGGTCCATCATGGGCTGTGGTGCATAGGCTGCCATCTGCTGCTGCAGCTGATGCATGTCTCTCTCCACCACCCTCAATTGAGACTCCAACTCATTCCTAATTATTGCAGTATGACAGAATAAATGAAAAACACTCAGTGCAATTAAACCCTCTGCGCACTAGACACGTGTAGAAACAAAGCAGACATACAGACAGACAGACAGGCAGACAGACAGACAGAGAGGCAGACAGGCAGGCACACAGAGAGGCAGACAGGCAGACAAAGTACTGTAACCCTCACTATGCATGCATGACGAGGGTTAATGAAGGGAGAAGAAAGGAAAGAAACAAGCTTCTGTTGAGTTTCACTCATGATGCCGTAGTGACCGTAGTCTACCCGTCGTCACACACAACAATTGCAGTCTGAGCTATTGGGTTACAATTGTTCCATACAAGACTTTTTCAGATGCAGTCGTGAGTTTGAATGGACACACCCACACCCACACACACACACACCCCACAACAGTCACTCACCTATGATAGGGGTTGTTCTGAATGCTGATGATGAGCCTCTGTCTTCTGTCCTGGAGCAGTCTATAGCTCTGTTGGCACCTCTCATACTCCTGCATGTATTACCACAACACACACACATACAACCCCAGTACATTCCCCGCTCAATTACTGCCCACCATTACAAATGCTACACAACATTATCACACACTGTACACATCATGTACATTGTGTTAGGCATGTTTCTAATACAGCATGTTAGACATGGTTTAAGGTATATAATGTACAGAGTTTTAACAAAGCATGTATGATGTGTCTTTGTACAGTACACTTGGAAGACCAGAGGGAGGGTAGGTGGGAAGGAGAGAGAGAGAGAGAGAGAGGTGAGGAGGGGGAAGGACGAAGAGAGAGGAGAGAGGAGAGAGAGAGAGAGGAGAGAGGAGAGAGAGAGAGGTGAGGAGGGGGAAGGACGAAGAGAGAGGAGAGAGGAGAGAGAGCTGCCTATGTACCGAGGCCAAAGATCAATGGCAAACAGTCGGCCAAGTCAGAGGGGACGGATTTGGACTGAGACACAGAGAAGCCATAGTTTCCTTCACAGGCTTGCTTTCATGTCTCACTGCTCGCACCATGTACATACGTACATGTACAATGTATGTAAGCAGCTCATGTACATCACGTTGAAGTGTTGTGGGTTCGAAACCCACCAAGGGCAGCTTTTTTTCCAATCAAAAACTGTTGTACTTGCATTTGCGTTTATTTGTGACCTTTTTGCTGTTACACGGACAACTCACTATTGTCTCACATATCGTCTTATAGTACTTGACCGGTAACTTCCTTATCAAGCAGCGGAACATTGTACATGTAGGTCATCCATACACTACGTACAAATGCTCAGTTCCTGCGACATTACCTCTAACTCGGCTACTACAGGGCTAATAGTAGTATAATACACATTGCACTGGCAGTAAACAACACACCTGGTCCCCAGGGTTTGGTGGATAAGGGTAATCTGTAGGGAGATGGAGATAGACACAGCAGAATGGACACAATAATGGCAATTGTACGACAGTCCTTACGGACTACAGCAAAACATTGTGTATCCATGTACTAGTGGTGGCTGTGTACAGTATGCGTCAAAAAAACGTATTGAACGATAATTGCCGTTCTCAGAAACGAAACCGCACGATATGGGAAACGTTTTTTTGACGCATACAGTACATCCCAGTGGAAAGGGAAGAAAATGTACATATGTAGGACCATCATACGCACACTTCGTAGTCTCGTAGCAAGTTTGCATCTATGTAGCTATACTTGTTCCGGGTTCCGGTACATTAAGTATGTACCATGGAAACTGACAAAATAGTGTATACACACACACAGCTGTGCAGGGTACCGCTGTACACACCACCAGGGTAGGGTGTACTGTATTAGCAGTGTGCAATAATCTGACTGAATGGGAAAACGTCTCTATTAGTAGCTAGGATATTCTATGGCACAATACTTGGTACAAATTGGTTGTTTGTCAGCACACCAACGTCACAACGCAGCGTGTTTGACAGTGTAGCACCGACACAAAAGCAGGGCAAGTGTTTCATGGAGCTGTATAGTTGTCACTCACACGTCCCCGTCCCCGTCCCCGGAGTGACGGGCGTCAAGGGGTTCGCGTCCATGATCAATGGGCCTTTCTTCTTTCGGCTCTTGCCTGCTTGGCGTGCACGACAGAGGATATTTCTCCTACAGTGGTGTTTTCTCGTGATGAAAAACATGGCAGGTTTTTTCAACAGTGAAGAATCAATCGACAAAAGTACGTAGGTTACCTCGGGCGGGGTCAAGTTGGAGCAGGTTTTGAAGGGAGTTTTATAAATGAACGGCCTCAGCTCTCGGCCGCAAAAACACAGCAACACGGCCAAAACACGCAGAGCTGCGGGGCGAGCAGCTACAGTAGCTATACAGTACAGTGTCGATCGAAATTGCTCTATTTGTACGAGGCGAGGGGCGGGGCTTGTTCAGAAATTTCAAAAACAAATGGAGCGGGAGGAACCGAACCCTGCAGCTATTGGTGAAGCAGATGATGGCGTGCAGGCTAACCAGCCAGGGAAAAACAAAGCGTTTCTCTACCACGCAGCCGGTTCTGCTGTCATACTGCTAGTCGCAGTGATCCTGCGCACGCAGCAGGCTGGTAAGTGCTGGGATCCTCTTTCAAGGCGAGTGCGCCATGCACCATATTTTGTGCGGTGCGTAACACAACAGTTATAATGGTGTTTCAGTAGTCCCTATGCACTATATAGTACAATAATTCTCATATATAGGTTGATTTGTGCAAATATCTCACTTCCCTTCCTTCTCTTCTCCCTCTGCCAGTTCCAGGTTGTGCAGAAAAGCTAAATGATGGTCACTGGCTGGCAGAGAACCTGTGGCAGCCAAGGCTCTGCAACCTCCACCCTTTCACCAGGAGGTCCGTTACAATGCAATGCTCTCGTTGGACAATGTTTATTTCTGGAGGGGGGCTGATATCGAGCGAGTTAATTATGGGGGGGGTTAGAGTAATGTTTATGACGTTGGCTTTTGTGGAGAGGACCAAATAAAGTTTAGTAGTCATAAAAAATAAAAAAGAATAACAGTACAGTGCAAACCCTCGGCAAACTGTGCATGCGCGGTACCGCTAATTGATGGGCTGGGCTTTCAGTACTCGTGGTCTCCCGCTAGTAGTCTGACACGGGCTAGCTACAGTAGTAGATAGCATGCGAGAGTCGATACACATCCTTCGTTGTGACTTCTTGTGCCTTCTAGATACACAGAGCAAGCGGACCCGGTCGATGTGATAAATATAAGCGCATGCGCATTTTCCGCAGCGATAATGGAGACTACTTGCATGAGCCGTACAACGCTTGAAGCGCTCTAGCTTTGCAACAGGGCATTTGCAGAGAAAACCGTTCGAAAGTTCTGACCTTCATTGCCCGTTAAGTAGGTTGTATCCTTTGTGAGGCGAACAAACACCCGAGAAATGAGATTGAGAGTAACAGACCGACACACACACACTACCCTCGCTGTGCATGCGCGCCGAGGGTTAGTTATGAATTGTAGCCCGTAGGAATTGTGAGAGTGATTTTGAGGCATAGTATTTTGGAGCAGGTTTAGCCAGAAATCTATAACAGGCTTCAGTGCTCACATAAGGTAGTGGTTGGCAATTCCTAGGGTGGGCAAAGGAAATGCTAGGGGGGAGCAAAAAAAACCCTGCCCCCCTGAAGTTATCATTAGCGAGCGGGAGTGAGTTTTAACCTAGTTGTCCCTAAGCAGCACAGCATTTCTACAGGGTTAAAAATATATGCGGTTACACGTGTGACTTTTATGCAAAATAGTGTTTCGAAATTTTGTGTGCAGCTCTCACTAATGCTCTTCGTGACTACAGTCTACATACTACCATGCTTCGTTGTAATGAGTGTCAACCATCACAGCCTGCCTATTAACACATGTTTGAGATTGCAATTATTGGGCGAATGGACCCCAATATAGTCTTTTTGTGGCGTGATCTTTCCCTATATTCATATTATTGTGCATCCGTATGTCGTCTTTCTCTCGTTACGTATGTAGTACAGCCATAACCTGAGCGACACACCAAGAATATGGATGTGAGGTGCTTGCTCTGCTCGCCCACAGAATGCTAAGAATATCCGCTACCATAATGTAATGGCTTGTTAACATGATAAGGGAAGGCAAACAACACGACTACTACACACAGTGGATAAATCTAAGAGAAAAGAGTGGATGATTCCAACCAGTGGCCCTATGCAGTGTTAGCATTATAATGTGCCTGGCCCTACACATTAAGGTAAGAGAAGAAAACCAAGTGAAACATTACAGCTACAAATACAGTAGAAAAAATACAAAAATAAAGCACAGACACAAAACAATAATGCACTAAAGTGCAAACCCTCTGCGAACTGCACATGCGCGATACAATTGATGGGCTGGGCTATAGTATGCATTTACCCGTGGTCCCTTGTAGTTCGCGGATAGTCTGACACGGGCTAGCTACAGTAGTAGATAGCATGTGTGAGCCGATATACACCATTCGTTGTGACTTCTTGAGCCCAAGGTACACAGAGCGTGCAGATCAGGTCGCAGTAACCATATTGGCTTTTTCGCTTGTTTTCACGGCATATCTCTTGAACGCAGTCGTTTCGGGAAAATCGCCCTTTTGTTTTTCAGGCTCGCGTAGTTCTGAAGCCGCTATATCACTAATAGGCCGCCTCGTAGCCTGTAGTGCCAGAATAAGCGTCGACACACAGACAGACAGACAACCCTCGCTGCGCATGCGCGCCGAGGGTTAATGTCCATCCACACAAGGGGGGTGTATTGGCAAGCGACGGCACAAACCGACGAAAGTATAGACCATATTCACCCACGAAAAAATTTACTACAACGGGCTATCAAAGTTTGGTTATACTGCATGTACATATATGGGGATTACCGTATTCAAGAGAAACTGTACGTACGTATGTATGTATGTATATTAACGTTCCGCAAAATTTTGCAAGGAGTTGAGGAGGGACTAGCAATCTTCCAATTTGTTTCTCAACAAAATTCACATTTTCTATCGAAACGCGAAGGTTTCTGTATACTGTGGGTGGGTGGGTCTTTGGAATGAGTATGGGGACTGTGTTTGGGATTATACATTGTACATGCGTAGATGAGTAATTGGTGTTTGAGTAACCCCTGTGCACTGGTACACTTGTGCAAAGAAAAATAGAGGGAAAAAAAGAAAAATATCTCCCTTCCCCCCCTGCATGTGGCAAATGATGAGATACAGTAGAAGAGTCCCTACTTTATTCATTGCAGTGAGGTTGAGTCATGTGTGGCAGAGTTCTCTCACGTGGTAGTTATCGGAGCAGATAAATGGGCCTCAGCCGCCCGCCTCCTCTGTCCTACTACAACCAGGGACAGAAAGGTCTGTTGTGGCCATACTAGTTGGATTTCGTCTAATGATTTGCAATAGGATATCATAAGAACAGCTAAAGTACACGACTTTACTTTTTCTGCAAATGCCAGTTTGGAGTTTTCACTAGCCTCAGAGCCCCAGTTGTACAAAATCCGAGTATGACTTTTCTCTTGTATGTGTATATACGTATGTGATGTCCTCTACTTTGTTTCTACTCCTTGCATGCATGCATGTGGTGGTGGCTTGGTGACTCACTGTGCTACCGACAGACAACCAGTCAACACAACTGTGAAACGGTACAAAATTTCACCATCGAAAGAGTATCTCATTTTATGTTGTTGTGTTCTCAACAGCGATACGTTGGTCAGTCAAACACGTGTGCAGAAGACGAGCAGGTGGTTGCGGAATACATCAAACTTGCGCAGGTTAGTCCAACCCCTATCTACTGAACACAGTTCCTCGAGCCTTGCTTGGTTATGTACACCACTGGAGTTCTGTTAGTAGTGATTGCACATGTTCAAAGTGACGCTGTATCTGTGTGTCAGAGTCCAGAAGAGAAGGGTCCAGTGCTGGTAATCCACCAACCTCTATTCCATGTCTCTCCTCTTGCGAAAGACCAGTTGTCAGCTGAGGCTCTCTCCAAGTGTAAAGGTGCGGTACATACATTCTTTACTAGGAATGTGCACGCGCATATTTTGCCTCGCGCCTGCCAGCCAATGCGTAAACAGTCCGACTGAGGCCGCTCGTGCACGCGCTCTACTGACTGCGCGCGAAGCCAGAAATCCTACGAATCTGCGCGCACAGCAGAAGGACTTCCTACGAATGGCGGAAGTTACACTTCCTTTTGGTGACTAATTGGCATTCCTAAGCATGACTAATTGACAACGTACGTACGTACGCATATCGCGAGAATACAACCCGGGGTAGTTGCCTCACGCTAACGTGCTCGGCAATTATGTGTGTGTGTGACAGTGCCGAGCGTGTGTGCGTGCGTGCGTGTGTGCATGTGCATTGTAAGACATTTAGAGTAGGTAGCTTTAAAGGGAGGGAGTAACTTCTGAAAACCAATTGTTTTTGCTGTGCTGATCTTCGTTAAGTTTCTCCGAGTCTCCACATGTGACTGTGGTGTTAGTGGATGTGAAGTATTAACTCTATAACATGTACATGCGTACATGTCTATATTTTCACCACGATCTGCCCAAGAGTCTATTTGTATTCCCAATTCAAGCATCACTTTAATTCTAGTCAGTGTAGGCATGCAACTATGGTTCATTTGGTGTACAATACGTACAGGTACACTTAATACGTAGAGGAAGTATCTTGATGTGTAATGGATCAATGGTGTACATCTCGAAATGTATCATTCGTCTCTACCCAAAGAATGTCTTAACATTGCTATTCTTGTATTCCGGGTTGTGTTTTTTACTAAACTGCAACTAAATACATACGTGTGCAGGTCAGCTGATGGTGCAGGCAAATGCCCAGTTGGAAATGTTGGCAGGAAGACCAGGCTCTCTAGTCATCCAGCTGGACTCCAACCCAATCTGGGGCCCTGGGACCAAAGAAGGAGGAGTCGACGCCACACAGGTGTACAGAGACGTCTACAGCAGGTCAGTTTTGCCGGGTGTTGGGTTGGTTTGCTACCCTTCTGATCTGGTATTGCATTATCTAGCCCTGTTCTCAGGGCCTCCCTCTTGTGCATCTCACAACATTTCAACCACTGCACCTGCATAGTTACATGTAGTTACAGACAGTCACGTGTACTGTAGTAGACATTCCCTTGTATTGGACTAGGCTAGAACATTTTCATGAACACAACCCTTGCCTGTTCGTATTTATATGGTATACGGAGATAACCAAGGATATCCGCATGTATGTAGTTCATCACCCAATCCACATGTACATAGACTGTGTCACTTACATACCGGCAGTCTAGAATATTACGTACATACATACAGTACACATCTTTGAGAAGATTCTGTCTACTCCTATTAGTGCCCAGCACAACACAAGTCGCCTACTCTACCTCACGTCTGCCTTTACAACTGGCTTCCCTCATCAGACGATCTCTGCCACCACTTCTGACACTCTCCCTCCCGTTAGTACACTACTGTTATACTTTTTTATCATAGTTAAATTGCTTGGCTATAATGTGTGTTTTTGTGGTGACATCTGATGTCCACTAAACCTAGCTATCTAAAATGTAGCAGTTCTAAAATCTGCCCACACAAAATGTTCACCTTAATTCGTTTACAACACTCTGCTGCAGAAGGGAAAGCTTGTTAGTTCACTGTCACATTTGGACTGGAGCCTACATATAGAATTTTAATGCTGATGGGCTTGTTTGTACCATCCAGAAAATGGCAGAGACATTTGTTTCTGTAGCATTTTTGATTTTATAGCTACTATGTTTGTTAACATGTTCTACACGCAGGAGCTGTCTCTCTTGTTGAACACTTTCTGTGCTCCTTCCTCCTCCTCCCCTCTCCTCTCCTCCTCCCTCTCCTCCCTCTCCTCCCTCTCCTCCCCCTCCTCCTCTCCTCCTCCTCATCCTCTTTCTGCTGTGTCCAAACTTCTCACTACTTCACAGTCACCATTCTTGTCTTCATGTGAGGCACACCACTATTATAGCTATTGTATATCTGCCCCCTTCACCACTGCACCACATTACATACATACACACTGTACACCTCGCACTGTACATGTATATGTGTACTGCTCTATATGTAATGTGTATATACATGTACCTCACACTACCGCTTGTAAATACTGTGCATCCAACCTGGAGGTTAGTTAGTCAATTTGACATTTCATTTGCAGTTATGCACGTAGTATATATATACATGGCCTGGCAAGTGCCATGCATGTGTATACGCATTGTAAGGTGCAGGGTTACTACCCCTGGTATTGCAAATGAGATGGGATTTATTTGGTGTTGCAAGTATGTAATTTTTGTAGGAATGGCTTTTGGTGGTTGGCATTCTTATTTTGCTCTCACTTGCTGAACACCTTTCCGGCTTGTTGGAATAATGTGTACATACATATGTATTATGTACTTGTGGTTATGTCTCATATCTTTCCCTCAGTCTCGCCTCATATGTGGGAGTTGGGCTAATCTTGCTGTCAGGAGCTACCTTTGGTATGGTAATAGTCTAGTGTCTGCCTAAGCCATGGGCAATATTAGACTTGTGGTATTTGTACATAATTATTACACGCGCTCACAATGAAAGCCATCTTATGCCAGAGCTTATGAAAACTGAGTACTCAACAAGTTGTGTTGTGTCTCCAGGTCACAAAATTGTTCACCCTTAAAGTGTACTTGACATCACATGGTGCAATTTTCTTCATGTGTAGAAAAAGAGCTGAGTTTTCCTGTGCGAAATGTCGTGCAAACGCTCTGTGGGTGTGCTTGTTGCCTGATAGCATAATGTTAACTGTGTGTGTATGCATGTGTGCAGCTCTCATGCCTCATCTGGAGGCTGTCAATTTCAACCTGGACAGATTCATCGCTGTTCTCCACAGCGTGGGAGGCGGTGCCTTCATCTTTCTCTACATCTTGATGGTGGATGGGTGAGAGGCTCTGTGCAATGTACTATTGGTGCTTGCGGCAAGTTTTAACAGTTAACTAGCCACGGACACACAAATGCGTCCAGAGCCTCCATAAGTCCATAAGAATTTATGTAGGGATTATAATTCTATGTGCTAGTACTTAGATACCCAAACCATTCCATGTGATGTTTGGCCACCTGCAGTGTTGACTGTGACAGTGTGTGATATGTGTACACATCAGATGACTAGGTTGGCTCATGCCAGAGGGGGTTGGAACCAATCACATGAATCGCAAAAGAATTCCACAATTAGCGGGTGAAGGAATGCAGGGATAGTGCGGTGCCGACTCTTAAAGCTTATCGCCAAGTTTGGTAGCTTGAAACTCAGAAGATGCACTAAAATCATGTTTTAGAAAAGATTGAAAAGAAGTACCGTATGCCCAGCTCAGTTATCGTGTAGCGAGTGGCACAGATCATCTAGTACTCACGCTGTAGCTGTATCTCACGGATAGAAGGGTGCACCAGCTGGGTACGCCAGCTCATCAGTCTCCTCCTTTTGAGTCAGATCTGTACCAACCTGAAACCTAGTCCGATACTCGTTATTTTTTCCCAACCAAACGCTTTGTTCATTGCCTACGGAAGGCAGCCTGCTGACTCAGCAAAATTGCATTAAGAGTCATGTGACGTTGCGTAATGTTTTTATCGCGCTTCCAACCTCCTCTGGGCTACAGAATTGCAACCCTAAAATGTTTCTTATTCCAGTATCATGTCTCATGGGCTAAGCTGATGTATGTTTTTATGCCTCACCTGTAATAGAAACACGGATAAGCATATGGTACGCATAAACTGTAGGTGAAATAGCCTACACATGCACGAAGAGTGCACACCCACAGACACACAATTCTGCTGTGTGACACCGTGAAGTACAGTATGTAGAAAATACCATAAACTGTAGGTGAAATAGCCTACACATGCATGAAGAGTGCACACCCACAGACACACAATTCTGCTGTGTGACACCGTGAAGTACAGTATGTAGAAAATACCATAAACTGTAGGTGAAATAGCCTACACATGCACGAAGAGTGCACACCCACAGACACACAATTCTGCTGTGTGACACCGTGAAGTACAGTATGTAGAAAATGCCATGTGTGTACCTATTATGTGACTGGGGTTGGATGTACACTTTTATGCTCCGTGGAAGGTTAGTACTATTAGTCATCACGGAGCAGCAAAGTGTGCAATGGGAGGACAGCAGTGAACAGTCCATGTTCATGTTTTTGGTATGAGCCTGGGACCAAGAGACAGGTGCCGAGCATGTGTTGGAACACATTACCTGATGCTTTTGCGGCTTTCTCCAAAGTGTTAGGAGAGGATGCAGGAGTCAGGATTATGTCTGCCTCAGGCGAATGCATAATACATTATCGATCCTGTGCACCACACATACAATTGGTGAACTTTAGCCAGTCAGGTTTGCCTGGCTATAATGTGTGACTGGCTCTGTTACTATGTATGTGGGACTCCTGTATGTAACATGAATGAGAGGAGTGTTGTTGGTGAGCAGGAGTGAGAGTTGCAGGAAATTTCCGATGCAATTGCACATGAAAAGAAGCGCATAGTATGTATGTCCAATCGAACAACGTACCATCACAAACAGAAAAATCGCTCTGTTCAGACCGCTAGGATAGGTCCCCAGTATTGTGTCCATGTTTCTGAAATAGTCACGAAATTGAAACACCTTGAATGTAGAAGGACTCTGATTGGCTACAGGTCACATGACCAACACTTGTAATAAATTGGGAGTTCAGGTACAGAATGTCGTATGGTAGGTACTAACCAGCCTGCCGTCCCAAGTTTTACTGGGGAAAGGTGGTAAACACATGTATTGTACACTTATACATGTATAATATGATTGATTGACTTGTCCCTCCCTCTTCCCCTCAATGGGGCTGCAGAATGGGGTATTTCCAGAGTGACGAGAGGACCTATTCTCTGACGATGTTTGTGGTGTGTTCATGGGCAGTGGCTGCCATGGCAGCTCTCACCTCTGACCAGACTGACTCTGTGAGTGATGGTTCCCTGGCTGGGTGTAGTCATACCCACTTTTAATTGAAAGTGAATGAGTCAATGGTTTTTGCCTTTTGCTTACAACAGTAATTTAGCACATACATACAGTGTATAGCTTCAATCAAAAAGCAGTACACTTAGTAACATCAGTGGCATTAGTTGTAACACAGAGGGTGTGACAATGTTCACCTTTGCAAGGTGCTCACTTGTCTCTCCGTTACATGCTCTAGCTCAGCACCTGTTTATATCAGACGAACCCCCGTGAGATGCAAGTCTTGTTGTTTTTGTCATATTGAAGTCATATATTATTGACGAGGGTGTTTTGCTCTCTCTCTCTCTTCAGTCTGAGGTGCTGTCAGCTTACCAGTGCAATGCATGGAGAGGGGTTCTAGTACTGACATACATTAGTCTCCAATACTGCGGTGTGGATCAGGTACTACAGTGAGTATGTAGGTAGGTACGAGGAGTGTATAAAGGACACCTTCAAAGGACGCAGTATGTAGTTAGCTACAGAGACAACACTTACAATCCCATAAACTGATACATTTTTCTTGAGAATACTTGAGAATAATAGGGAGAATAATAGGAGCTTTCATAGGAATTGGGGAAAAGGGCAAAAACAAGGAATAATCCACACAAGCCTACAACACGCGACACAATTACTAGCAAGAGGTGCAGTGTGGATATTGTGCGGTTTGAATGTTTTGACTACTAAGACAGCACCATGAGTCTGTAACACATGTAATGACCTACACTGTCGCCTAGCGGGTTCTTGCTAGCACACTTTGATAGCCGCTTGCTCACACACACGCGCGGTCTCAGTCTCAACAACATCATCATACGTGACGTCTCGTGATCATACACGGACAGTATGGTGACAGATGATTACACAACCTTACACACACCCATTGGCATGGGTGTATATATGCTGTACTGAATGTGTGGTATGGTACGTGTACCGTGGCAGGCGGTGGCTGGGCGGCTGTTTGGGGAGCTGTTGGTGGGAGGTCTGGTCTTCATCTCTGGCTATACCTACTTTTCTCACTACTGGAAACACTCTCAGTTCAACTGGAGGAGAATCGGATATGTGAGTTGGAGAGGAGGCAGGATATAATAGATGATGGTACAAGCAGAGACATACACACAGTAAGTGGAAATCTTTATCTAGGTGTAGAGAGAATGTTAACTCATTTTGCACGTTGTTGCCGAGCGCATTAGCGCGAGGACAACTACTCCAGGTTGTATTCTCGCGATATGTTTACGTATGTACGTGTCGATCACGCTTAAGAATGTCAATTAGTCACACTTAGGGAATGTCAATTAGTCACGCTTAGGAATGCCAATTAGTCACCAAAAGGAAGTGTAACTTCCGTCATTCGTAGGAAGTCTAGCTTCCGCCATGCGCGCAGATTCGTAGGAAGTCTGGCTTCACACGCAGTCAGTAGAGCGTGCGCACGAGCGACCTCAGTCGGACTGTTTACGCATTGGCTGGAAGGCGCAAGGCAAAATATGCGTGTGCGCATTCCTAGTAGCATAATACACACTTGCGTATACCTTTGCCCACTACATGTGTACTGTTGACTGTAGCATAGTGGTTCTAACGTGTTGCGCTGCTAAACCAAGGGTCCCAGCGTCCTTAGCCCTTTCTTTTTCCCCCGACCAGCTTTTTGCCTGTTTATGGTGGCATATTCAGCACGCCGAAAGGCTCCATCTTGGATACAACACAGGCCCAGTACACTGGACTCCCACTTTGCTAGGGGCTGAGTTTGATCCCCGAATATAGCCCCGCTCTGCTTTCTCTGCTATAGAACAGTAGCGTAACGTTTGCACGTTCAATGTAATGCTCCTTGTGATGGAGTTATTTTAAACCTGCTGCTATGACCACTCACAGGTGTTGTTCCGAGTGAACCTTCTCCCAGTACTACTGAGTCTGACTCTGGGGGATATCATATGGGGTCTATATTCTGCCCATACTCCTGTCACTTGGTTTCCTCTTCACGTCAGCCTTCATGGCCTCCTGGCCTCAGATGACTCCAGCTAGCCTTCAAGGTGGGTCTGTCTGTGTACGGTTTTGACAAGTACATAACTTAATTATAACTGGAGTAGTACACATGTAGTGGGCAAAGGTATACGCAAGTGTGTATTATGCTACTAGGAATGCGCACACGCATATTTTGCCTTGCGCCTGCCAGCCAATGCGTAAACAGTCCGACTGAGGTCGCTCGTGCGCACGCTCTACTGACTGCGTGTGAAGCCAGACTTCCTACGAATCTGCGCGCATGGTGGAAGCTAGACTTCCTACGAATGGCGGAAGTTACACTTCCTTTTGGTAACAAACACCCACGCATAATAGATAATAATGTCTCCATGTATTATACCTCCCAGTAACTTGCTCATCGTGTGTGTGTGTGTGTGTGTGTGTGTGTTTGTGTGTGTATGTGGGGCCATGTGTACATGTGAATTCGGGTTTTGGCTCGGTACTGGCAAAGCCTTGTGGGGATGAATCTCATTAGTTCAGAACCACAAGTGCTGTGCTCCTGGTAGCTTTTATAAACTCGTGATGCCAGAGAGAGAAGTTGCGGTATGCTCCACTGATGAGGGCCAACAAGCCCGAAAGAGCTGTCCAGAGCTCCCATCTTTTTCCTCTTGGCATCACATGGTCTATTATGTCAGTGTTTTCACTCCACTCATGCAACCATGTGTAGGACTGGAGCATTCCCATTAGTTGAAAGATAAAACTTCAGCCTTAAGAACGAGGTGTGTATCTAAGTTCAGAGTGGTTCCACTGCATCGAACCTCCCAAACCTGGCAAAGTGTCAGACTGCCTCGAATCTTCTTAAGGGTTATTCACATGAGTTTTGTGTGGTTCGACTGTACTGAACCTTCTCTACAAACAGATTCACGAGGGGAGCGAGGTGTGTAGGGTACTTGTACTCTAGTTCGGAGTGCATCTAACCTCCGCGAACCTTCTTGAACCACTTCAGTGCGGAGAAAACAAAGTGTGTAGAGTTCATTCACATGAGTTTTGTGTGGTTGGACTGTACTGAACCTTCTCTACAAACAGATTCACGAGGGGAGCGAGGTGTGTAGGGTACTTGTACTCTAGTTCGGAGTGCATCTAACCTCCTTGAACCTTCTTGAACCACTTCAGTGCGGAGAAAACAAAGTGTGTAGAGTTCATTCACACGAGTTCTGGGTGGTTCGGCTATACTGAACCTTCTCTATGAACATATTCGCAAGGGGAACGAGGTGTGTCTCTAGTTCGGAGTGGTTACACTGCATCAAACCTCCCTAACCTTCTTGAACCTTCTCTAGACGCATGGGGATATGCTTAAATAAGCAGAAATTGATGTACACATGCCCCCATATAAATGCATGTCGAATTGTGGAGGCTCTGGGCACATTTATGTGTCCGTGTCTGACTAAGTGTGTAAATTAATTGGTACTGTGTAGTCGATCAGTGTGTGTGACATGCCATGTGTCCTACACCATACACTCATGACGGCAGGTATGAGTGGCCAGGGACCTCAGCATGTGGTGGTGGCTGTCAAGTTTGGGTTTGCTTTTCTCTTCATCTCCTTTCTACCCTGGATAAAGGCAAGCTTTGTTCTGCTATTAAACTCACACGGGGCAATAAGTAGCTATTCTCTTCATCTGAGAGAATGATTCTATACTAATGTGTACTTAACTGTATTACTATGGATTTGCCTGTATAGTTACAAACAAACTAAAGAAGATGGGAGCATTTCAGAAGGCATTAACAGAGGCTAAGAGTGTGATATTATGTTTTGGATGTTCTTTCTAAGCAACACAGCATTAGACATTCTATTACGAAACTCAACCCCAGAGCGTCAGAAAAATTTAGAAATGCTACTAAAGATAGAACAAAAGAGTAGGGTCACAGTGAAAGAATGCACTTAAATTCCATTTTTACCAACATTTCTAAATTTAGATGTTACTGCCACATTCCCTTTAAAGTTTCTAATGGTAAACTTCCATTGTGGCACTCCGCAGTGGAAGTTGTTAACCATTCTTGGCTTCCGTATTACATCACATCACGTCACATCATCACGTGTATATGTACATATACAATACAGGGTATTTTGAAGGGACTAGCATCGCTGCCACTGATGGGATGGGTGGTGGGGACAGGAGCTGATGTCAGAACCCTCTACCACTGGATATACACTCAGAGATATGTTAGTAATCTCACTTTATCCAGAGCCACTGGTGGTAGCTATCCTGGTGTACGCCTATTGTACATTATAAAGAAAGAAAATTCAAAAGCTGTACTAACATCATTCTCACCAAAATCCAGTAGAGTAAACCATGTACATGTGTGTATAGTTGTCCTTTACACTGCTGCACTGAGCAATTCACTAGGCTGAACAGAAAAGTGCTCTTTAGTTTTGTACCCTGTACTAGCAATTCACTCGGCTAAAGACTCTGATGTTAATGAGTCTGTATTTTGCTCCATCAGATGACACTGGGAGGGATGGTGTTTGGCTATGTGATGTGCACCGTCCAGTCAAACTCAGTCTCGACCTCAAGTGACGGCCTCAGGAGACTTAGAATTGTCATCATTCCTTTCTCTCTCCTCATCATGCTGGTAGGTCGACACATTCTGAAAGTGTATATATGACCATCTCTAATGTCATCCCTCGAGGACGCCTCTGTAATAAGGACACGTATTGTTTTCCCAAGACAGTTTCTTGTATGCAATTTAACCCCTGAAATAACTGCAACTTGACTGAAATGGACAGACACTTGCCATTAGTTTCATTATTAACCCTTGGCGCGCATGCGCAGCGAGGGTTACAGTACTTGGTTTGTCCGTCTGTCCCACGTTTTCTGCCACCACGCGCAACAAACAGGTAAAATAGCGACACCAACGGGTTCAGCGCTACACTGGCTTGATTTTTAAAAATGGCGATTTTCGTAAAAGTGCCGCGTTCAGAAGTTATGGCGCAAAAACCAAGTGAACAAGCCAATATGCTAATTAGCACAAGCTTACCTCGACCGGGTCCGCTTGCTCTGTGTATCTTGAAGGAACATGAAGTCACAACGAAGGGCGTGTATCGACTTCCGCATGCTATCTACTACTGTAGCTAGCCGGTGTCAGACTCTCCGGGAGACCACAAGTAAACGCATACTACAAATAGCCCAGCCCATCAATTAGTGGTACCGCGCATGCACAGTTCGCCGAGGGTTTGCACTTTAGTGCTTTTCATTTAAGGGGTTCCACTATAGCAGTTTCTATTAGCCTAGTGTGCCCCACTTGTTTCAGTCAATATTTGAATTACTACATACTTCTCTTGAACATCAAATCCTTTTCTCTTTTTGTGTGTCCCTGTAACAGGGCTATGGGATATTTCTGCTTTCAGCCACAAACTTTGAGCAGAGCTCCGAGAGCCAGTCCCTCATTGCACAGCCAGTGGTGAGTGTGTCACTCCACCTGTTACTGTACTTACCTGACTTCACCTGTACCAAAGAGAATGTGGCAGCATAAAAAGGGACAACTTTCAATAGGTCCCAGTGCAAGAAGCAATTAGGTTTCCATTTTCAGCATAGACCCTTATATACATGTATATACTGCTAGATTCCCATTAACACTTGCCTAGACTGCAGACCTCACTTACATATGTACTACATAATAATATAGACTCTCTTTTGCTGGTGCAGATAATATCTTACGCTCTGCTGCGCTACTTCTCCAAACCTCTCCGAAGATACGAAAGCCACTGGTTGGGAGGGGTGGGATCGCTGTCCGTGTGGCTGTTTGTCTCCCACCAACACATTCTCCTGGACCAGAGTGGCTCAAGACTCCTGACCCTATTCCCCAGTGTCCCGTGGCCAGTCAACTCCGTCCTGGTTCTCTGCGTGTTCTTGTTCTGTCTGAGACTGATGCAGTTTGGTCAGAAGACTCTCTCCGGGTCGAGTGGCGAGCGAAATGCTGTAGCACATCCCTCCACTGCTCATTCAAAAACTCTACCACTTAGTAACCAGTAACATAATATTATAGCTAATGCATTGACAATATTATTTTTCATGGTCAAGATCTTGTATAATATATTGAAATTTTATATTACCTGTCTATCATAACAGTCGAAAAAGCTGTTGTCACATGTGAACGCATCAAGTAAAAAATAGGGTGTACGCCACATTATAATGTTTCCCTGTATACGTACGCGAGTATATAGCCGTACACGGGCGGAGGGGAAATCCCATACGTAGAGCGCAATGCGCGTTGCGCGTAATGCTCTCGCGCGGTTCTGGTCACGGTAATCGTCGCCATATCGCGCATGCAAATTCTCTATTCGTTGTACTACAAAATTCATTCACAAACTCAAACTTATCCCTGTGTGTCATAGCCCCTATTCTTACTTGATGCGCTCACACATAGTCTCTGGCAGACTGCTTTCTATATATAACGCAGGTCGCCGGACTACTATATTATACTGCATTGCAAAATCACCCCTGATTTCACTGTGTGGTGGGCTTTGGTCTACCTGTGCCAGGTGTGCATGAGTGTTAAGGAAAGGAGGGTCGGCACAATAATAATTGAAGGGGTCAGAGCCAGTGTGAGCCAACCCTCAATATTATACAACTCTTGCCGGTTTTTATTAAATGTCCTTATAGAACAAAAACCAGCAAGAGTTGTATATTGAGGGTTGGCTCACACTGGTCTGATCCCTTCAATTATGGCTCTAGCTCCACAATAATTAACTGAAGAAGAGAGAAGAGGGAGATTTTCACACTGAGGACTCTGGCTCCAGAGGAAATGAGCTGGTGGTAAAGTTCCGACAATGGCAGTTGCAGAAAGCCAGTTCACTCACCAGTTCACTGCCACATCGTCTGGTCCACTCTGACTGCCTACAATAGGTCTCCAGGTCATCAAATTTCTCCTGTCACTAGTCCCGCCTTACGTGTGGCCCGTGACATTATCCTGTCACTTGTTGCCTGGTGCAGTGGTATTGCAATGATGTAGGTCAAAGGAACCAACCAGAGAAGGAAGACACAGAAAAAAATGGTCTTTGAATTCTGCTGCAACAGTTGAAGGTAAACTCTCTCTTGACATAAAGGCGCAGACCAGTGCCTGCCACAGAAAGAGGTTTGCACTGATGATATTGAATGCTGAGTACTCTTCTCTGTAGGGCTGGACAATCACGACTACTGTAGCACCAATTATTAATGAAGTAACAGTTAAGAGAGCAAACTAATGTCATTGAGGAAAAACAACAAACAAGTATGGTTATATAGTACTTTCACTACAGTTATGTACCTAACTACATCTCAAAGCTCGCAGCATACAAGACACACTCTATGAGTGTATATAGTGTCAAATTCCAAGAGAACGTATCCCTCTCCTAGGTTCCTCAGAAAACAGACATTCAGAGGGTTAATTGGGCGGAATTTACATATGCACAGAGCCTCCATAAGTGCATAAGAATTTATATATGGCTATAATACTAGGCGCTAATATGTTATACATCAATTTCTGCTTATTTAAGGAGACACCTATGGCGCCCAAAGGGTTAAGAGAGCATCATCACTATCAGAACAGGAGCATTAGCTAATGCAACACTGTTTCGGGAATCAATAGACTGAATAGCATGATATGTCTGTTCATGACTATCATTTTGCTAAAGACTCGCAAAGCTCAGAATCATTAGCCATAGCTGCTTCTAGCCCTTCATCATTTACATCAATGTCAGCATACAATGGATTGTTAGCTTTCAAGAATGTCAATGCGTCCAGCAGTTTGAGGAGTTATGTAGTCATAAATATAATGGCCTCGGTATGCTAGTTTACGCTTCAGCTTTAGTGCCACTAGTTCAGACGGTGATGGCAATCTTGGCAACATTTTTACAAATGGTATCAACTTTGGAAGGAACATTGACAGCTGGGCCATGTATTGATCTCTGTTTACCAGATGGCAATGCTACCATTTTCATGAAAGGCACACGTAGACAAATAAGCCTTAGTTCCAATGCATTTAGATCAGATAGCTCAGGTGGTATTTCAGACAACTGTAACCCATTAGCTTTAGCTTGCAATGGCATTACTCCTCGCTTCAATGCTCTGTCACATGTCTTACACACCCACTCATTACCAGTACCACTAACATATCTGAGGTCAGCACTGAACACACATTCTAGCAAGTTGTTGCTGCACTTGGTATATTTAGCTGGGTTACATGACACAACACTTTTGCTATACATCAGGCGGTGGCAACATGTGCAAACAAAATCAGGTCCATTCTTGATATCAGAATGAAATGACACAATAGCTTGCTGTACAGACACATTGCTTGCTTTTTTAGTTGCTCTCATGCTTGCTTCATGGTTTCTGTCTTTTTGTTGTCTATGCACAGTTTCCTCACTAGTTTCAGTTGCTCTCATGCTTTGTGGTTTCTGTTTTTTTGTTGTCTATGCACAGTTTCCTCACTAGTTTCAGTTGCTCTTATTTGCTTTGTGGTTTGTTAACCCTCGGCGCGCATGCGCAGCGAGGGTTACGGTAGTTGGGTACGTGTGTGTCTGTCTATCTGTTACTCTCAATCTCACTTCTCGGGTGTTCCTTCGTCTCACAAAGCACAAAGGATACGACCTACTTAAAAAAAGTTAGGGCGTGAAAATCAAGTGAACAAGCCAATATGTAAATTAGCACAGGCTTACCTCCGTTCGCTCTGTGTGTCTTGAAGGCACAACAAGTCACAACGAAGGGCATGTATCGACTCCCGCATGCTATTTACTACTGTAGCTAGCCCGTGCCAGACTCTCCGCGAGCTACTAGCGGGATACCACGAGTAAAGGCATAAAAAGCCCAGCCCATTAATTAGTGGTACCGCACATGCACAGTTCGCCGAGGGTTTGCACTTTAGTGCTTTTTATTATTACTGTGTAGCTACACCTGAGCTGTCATCATTACCAAGAGAGAGTGGAAAGACACGAAGGAGAGAGAAGAAAGATAGGTGTGTATGTATATACTGTAAGTGTAGACAACCAAAACACACACCTTGCTCTGGTAGTTGACGTTGGCTCCTGCCTCCAACAGTCTCTGAACTGTCTCAGTATGTCCATTCTCGGCAGCTGTACCCAGAGGAACAGCACCAATCTGATGAGAGAGAAGGTCACCCATAGGAAATGCTTCTCATCTTCTACAGATTTGCACTTGTGACACAGCCTCCCACGTTCAATTTCCAGACTGTGGCATCCAACTCTAAGCCGAGTCATAGAAACTCGGAGCGCTGCTGAAGTTATATTCAAAAGATAGGGCTCCATGCCAAACTCTTTCTTGAATAATCTGTATGATCTCAGTTTGTTTCCACCTTGTCCAGTCAGGCTATGTTCACGTTCTAAATTGGCATGCCACCTTTGAATAAATTGGTCACGGTATGTGAACATAATTGTATTTTGCGTGTTTTGATCAAAAACACAAAACTTTGAGAATGGAGTAGCATAACCATATCCCTAGATAGCTACTTGTAAGACTGCACTTTTTCCAGGATAATATGATTGTTCAGTGAAAATATATACTTAGAATTTCTATCCCCACCAAAGACACATATTTTGGTTTTGTCTGTGTTGACTTCTAGTTTCCTTCTTTGGGAAAAGTCTGATAAGGTGGTTATGTGTTTCCTTAGATCTACTGCACTTGAGGAAATGAGGACCACATCATCCGCATACATAATTATGTCCAAAATATTACCATTATACTTGATACAATTTGCTATGGTTTTCCCAGACTTTCTACATTTTTGGGGATAAAACTCTGCTTCTTTGCTGCCACATTTAACTCTAATGCACTGACTAGCTCCCTTTTCCATGTATCAAGTCCTTGTTACGGTAGTTATGTCAGTGCAGGTGAGATTTAAGATTGGAAAGAGGTATATACAGCCTCGGTCAGGTATTGAAGAGCGCAGCGAATGCCAGCGAATAGACGAGAGTTCTTTCGCTGAGATTTCACATCGATATGACAGCTAGGCAGCGTGTAAAGAATATGCGCGTTCCCTGCTCAGGAGTCTCACTGACACGATGTTTTCTTTCCCTCTCTCTTCGACGACGAATGGCTTCCTCTCAGACTGATGCGGAGCTACACACACATCAGGCAATTTTGAAATCATTTCGGATAAAAAAGAAGCGCGTAATCCTGGAGCATGCGCACTTACACGACGTACGCGGGTCGAAAAATCGCGCCGTTTGGACCACTAGGTTAGCTCGCTCCCGCTCGCCAATAATAACTAGTGAAAATGTTTAACATTGTTGGCGAGCGGGAGCGAGATTGGGAAGCGGTACAGCCTCAGTCAGTCACCGAAGGTTGCAGCACACGCCGTCGAATGGAGAAGAGTTCTCTCGCTGGCTAGATCGATCGGCGCATATCGCGAGGCAGGCAGCGTGTGTGAAAATGCGTTGAAAGCGCGTAAGAAGCCGCGCATGGGCACTTACACGACGTACGAATGATAAAAGAAAAAACCGCTCGATCCTCTGTCGTATACTGTATGTCCCACCCCGATATATGTATCGTGCATATTCACTGTAAGTCAGTCAGTCATCAATGATCATGATACTTGCCCTATGATATGTGATTACTGGATACTATACACTCCTACACTTACTGGATACTACACTCCAGTTTGTTTTTTAAAACACATTCTTAACATCATTGTGTGTGTAATTGTACTGGGTCCTTTTTTCTTGAATCCAATTTTTGTACCATTCATTGTTGCATTTATTCAGACGATTCATGTTCTGATTACTCTTTTTATGTGGCAAGTGCACAACAAAAGCATCGGGAAAGACGATGAAATCGTATCCAGCCATGTGTAACTCTATGCTATGGCTGATTTTGTCACGAAATCGAGCGACGAATATGTGATCGAATGAGATGACAGATGTCTTGAGCAAATAGTATGGTTCATACTTTTCCTTCCACGTGACCAAGTAGGTATTCGTGGCACTAATCCACTTCTGGTAGTCAGTCGGATCATGTCCCTCTTTGAAGGCCTTGAGCCCTAAACTGACGTACCCTGCCCCCTTTGTAAAGACCAATCATCTCTGATTTTCTGTGTGGGACAGTGAAGTTAGTGTTATCTGACTCAAATGCAGGGATGACAATTGCTTTTTTGTCCATATTCCCAAACACATTTGCTTCTAGTTTCTTTTTCAGGATATCGTACAAACACAAACACGAGATGAAGTCGACATCGAGAATAAACATGAAGGGAGTAGACACAAACCTGTGAGCAAGTTCACGTGCATGGTTGGGAGGGTACGAAGGACCAACTGTAAACAATAGATGGTAGGTCACATTCAACCTGTGTTGCAATGACTTTGAATTGAGGAGGAAGCTGACCACCCCCTCCACCTGATAGTCACTCAGGTGAATGGCCACACTGGCAGGTCCGTTCCAGGTCTCCAGGATCTGCTCCAGCAGACTCAGTCTGTTGTAGTCCAGATGGGTGGTTAGTGTCACATCGTACTGCCCACTTGACTTGTAGCTGTGGCCCAGCAGGAAGGGCAGCTCTCGTCTGTGGGCCTTTCTCTCCCATTCAAACAGTTTGCATTCGTCCTTCTTTGACGGTGCTTTGCTGACTAAATATTTCACACCCTTGAGACATTTCCCCATCTTTCTGTACCTAAAGAGCTCTCCGTCATATTCCAGGGCTGTGCTACATAATTGTCCCATGTTGCTTCCTAAATTGAAAAGTTTCATCATCACCTTGTCTGCAATATCTGCTACACTCGGTTTACAATTATTATGTCTGGGTATGTTGTTCTCTTTCCTCATGTTTTGTAGGCAAACACCAATAGCACCCCACCCTGTAAGCTCAATATCACTTCCTTTGCTACAGTATACGGCGCACTTGCTCTGGCACACAGTGATAGATCCATTGAGACGTGACTTAGTCAGAGCCCACAGCTGAGCCAAGTCAAGTGTGACGACTGAGGCTGGCTCTATAACTATGACATGTTGGACGGTGTTGGGCAAGACCAAGTCAAGATTTAGGTGAATGGAAAGGGATCGAGAGCACTGGATATTAGAGCCTAATTTGATGTCGGTCAAGGCACGGGAAAGGTCGTAGTAGTCATGTGAAATTGCTGGAACAAGCCAAGTACTCATCATTGTGTGGAGAACAGTCTTAGCTCTGTCGTCAGTGATGAAGTGGAAATGAAGTAGAGTCGAACAGTGCATGAGGACCGATTTGATCGTCGTGTACAAGTGTCTGCTACCTATGTCTCCAGATGCTACCATTGCTACGTGGACAGTTGAGCAGTCGGTTGACACTGATGTTTGATACTTCACTGGCGAGAGAGACGACTTTGGAGGTATCAACAGTGT